CAGTGTTATGTTCAGGTCAGTGCGTCTCAGGCAGTGTAATGTTCAGGGCAGTGTAATGTTCAGGTCAGTGCGTCTCAGGCAGTGTAATGTTCAGGGCTGTGTAATGTTCAGGTCAGTGCGTCTCAGGCAGTGTAATGTTCAGGTCAGTGTAATGTTCAGGGCAGTGTAATGTTCAGGGCAGTTGGCTCAACTGCCTGTTGATGGCAGTTTTCGTTCCAAAATGGCGGATGTGGTACTGAGTTTGGCACCTGCCTCACCAGAGTCCTTCGGAAAGTTGATGTTGGGTCCATGACCTGACCTCACCACGTGGATAGCAGCCATTCACATTTCCGAGCGGCAAAACCCAAGCCACGCTCACCCTATCCGAGCTGAGAGATTCCGAGTACAGACGCAATGTGACATGCTGCCTCCAGGAGATTGCTTGCAAAATACATTTATTTAAAGGTCAGGAGTGGCAGAAACAGCTAACAGAAGGGTAGATAACAGACAGTCAGGACTTGTTTGGCCTGCTGCCACTGTGTGGGTTAGGGAGAAAATATAATTCCAGACTGTTCATGTCAAGGCTAGTAACTGTCAATACCCACAGGCTTTATGTCAGTAATTGGAGACCCAACTCAATGAACCATGTAACGGTCGAGAGGTGCACTGATATTTCTCACTGCACATAATGTTGTTCCAATTTGGTTCTTGTCCTTCATTCCAACGATGATATCTTTGTGACATGTGCGTTGAGGTGCAGATGTATCTTATCATACAAGATGACATATACATTATCGTATGTTGTAGTCTGTTAGGTCCATTTTCTCTTTTTAATTTATTCCATGACTTTAATCACTGGAGTATAGGCACATCAGAATGCAACACCTACAGCACCAGACCATTAATGAGATATCATGCTACACCACCCAGTTTGTACTCTCAGGTCTGTCAAGTGACTCAACTTGATTTTTTTTTTCCTTTATTCATTCATGGGATGAGGGCGTTGCTGGCCAGGCAGCATTTGTTGCTCATCTCTAATTGCCTAGAGGTCAGTTAAGCGTCAACCACATTGCTGTGGGGTTTGGAGTCCCATGTAGGCCAGACCAGGTAAGGATGGCAGATTTCCTTCCCTAAAGGACATTAGTGAACCAGATGGGTTTTTCCCAACAATCGACAATGGATTCATGGTCATCATTAGATTCTTAATTCCAGATATTTTATTGAATTCAAATTCCACCGTCTGCCATGGTGGGATTCGAACCCGGGTCTCTCGAACATTGTCTGGGTCTCTGGAGTAACAGTCCAGTGATAATACCACTAGGCCATCACCTCCCTATGATTCCAGTATGTATTCACATAGGGCTGCATTTTCCGCTTCTTTTGGCCTAAGTCCAAGTTGCGTTGAGATTTTTGGGGGTATTTTCACTGGGAGAACTTTACGGGTTTTCTCAGCACATCTTTTACCAGGTTCACCTCATTAACAATGTACACAAAAACAGAATGTGCAGCCAGATTTTGTGGGAAGGAAGCAGAGTTAACTTCTCGAGTCCTGTGAACTCTTCATCCATAGTTCTTAGGTATAGCTTTGAGGTGCAGTAACATCCTGGAAGTGGATCAGAGAAGTGTCATGCAGGTTCTTTGAGGCTGGCACATATTGAGTGCCACTGTGTGTGATGTGTGGTGTGTAGCCAGCTCTGTGCAGTGAAACCTTGGTTTCCAGTGTCCAACATGGAGGTTGTTTGGAGCAAGTGGTGAGTTGAACTCATTGGGTATTGACTCTGGTAGGATTTTCCTCAAATATCTCATAGAATCCCTACAGTGTGGGAACAGGCCCTTCAGCCCAACAAGAACACACCGACCGTCAGAGCACCCACCCAGACCCATCCCCCTGTAACCCACCTAATCTACACCTCTCTGAACACTATGGGCAATTTAGCATGGCCAATCCACCCTAGCCTGCACATCTTTGGACTGTGGAAGGAAACTGGAGCACCTGGAGGAAACCCACGCAGACACGGGGAGAATGTGCAAACTCCACACAGACAGTCACCCGAGAGTGGAATCGAACCTGGGTCCCTAGCATTGTGAGGCAGCAGTGGTAACCACTGAGCCACCGCGCCACCGCGCCACCCCTTTTTCTCTAGTTTGTCTGTCAGGTTTTAGTGAGAAAGAAAGCTGAATATAAATGAGGCGAGTTGAGCCACGAACAAGGCGTTTGACAAACAATAATCTCAATTAATTGGCAACTCACCACTGCCTAGTGAGAAAGTTGCCACGCCCCTTATGAAAAGCATGAGGGATGACACAAGATGTTCCAACATGAAGAGGAGAGAGACTTAAAAAAGACATGAGGGGCAATGTTTTTTTATAATGTTTAAAAGACACTTGGATAAGTACATGAATAGCAAATGTTTGGAGGGATATGAGCCAGGACCAGGCAAGTGGGACTAGTTGAGTTTGGGATTATGACTGTATGAGCCTTGTTGGACGTTTTATCCGATACTACTACATATTTCACAAGAGCTCAGTCACTCAGAGCCCTACGAGATTCCACCACGGACTATAGTGGACTTATGTTCAACAATCTAACATGAATGCTCCAGTACATTGTCCTACACAATCCCAAATGAGGACAACATGCTTTAAATTCTTCTCCGAAAATTCCATGCATTCCAAGCGTGTGACCATTAAATTACAGTGCATCAAAGATACATAAAGGTGTCATTAGAATAACAGCATGGAAACAGTAACTTGCTGTAACATCTTCCCAATCTCACTCATTCGTCTGGTTACCATGGTTATGTAGCCCACTTAAGCTCTTCTAATCATTTTATGAGCGTAGTGGCCAGACCAACCTCCGCCCGATCATCAAGACAAAAGTTAAACACATTCACCCATATTCAGGACAAAGCTACATTCAAATAACACAAAACCTTCAATAAAATGCCTTTCCTTAGAATACTCAAGTTTCATACAACCAAGCAACAATTTGTAAAGCTACATTCGCTCATCGTGTGCTGATCCCACAAAAAAAATCCCAAGGCAGTGAAGTATCATGGGCAAAGTAACACCCCATTCAGACCTGTACATGTTAAGGTGCGCATGAATTTGTAAGATGTGCTAGTAATGTGATAATATTCAGCACACAGTAGGCCATTTAGCCTCTTTGGGCCTGCTGTGCCATTACATCATGGCTGAGCTGCAACTCTGTTCCAGTTTTCCATCTCATTTGGCTGCTGTCCCTTTTACAGAATGGTATGCACCTCCAAGAGTAACAGCACCACTTACAACTGCAGGATGCCAATGCTGTGGGCCCCAAAGTCCAGTAAGTAGAGACTGGGGATTCCAGGACAAGTCAAACAATGCCTAGTGGGTGAAGGGTATTAAAACCAAGGGGCTGAAAACGGGCAACCGCTGTTTTTAGTGATGTTTGTTCAAGGATAAATGTTGACCCAGGGCTCCAGAAAGAATTCCCCTTCTCAGCTTTGAAACATGAAAATGGGATCCTTTATATCCACTTGTGAGATCAGATGGTATCTCAGTTTAACATCTCATTTGAAAGAAGTTACCTACTTATGGTGCAGTCTTCTCTCAGTACTACACTGGAAAGCTAGCCTCTGAATCAGACAGTGACGGGTTAAGTTCCATGTTAAAGGTGAGAGTGCTCCCCACTTAAACCTGGCCAATACCCTGGGTGAACTACTTCCATAACTTTAGAAAATATAGCAGCAAAGGCAGTAGCGCTGACCAACATCTCACCTTCAGACTAAGCACTTTACAACCCTCTGGACTTAATACTGAGTTCAATACCTTCAGATTGTAAACCCACTCCC